ATATATATATATATATATTCATTTGTAGGGTTTTTCATTCTTCTTGCTAGCATTATACTCCTTTGCAAAAGGTAAATGCTTTTTATTTTATTCAATTTACTAATCTTGCAAAAACTCCTACGTGTCTATATATATATATATATATATTCATTTGTAGGGTTTTTCATTCTTCTTGCTAGCATTATACACTCCTTTGCAAAAGGTAAATGCTTTTTATTTTATTCAATTTACTAATCTTGCAAAAACTCCTACGTGTTTTATAGGAAAGATTGGTTAATAATTTTTTGAATAAAATTTTATATCGTTAAATGTCATGTTGTCGTGCACAAAAAAGAAATTTTTTGGCTACCTTGCAAAACATAAACTCGGTTAGTTTTATTTCAAGATGGATATGAGCAGCCCATGAAACCAAAATAAATTCAATTGTTGACTCAACTGATTCTATAGTTTTAGATTTGTAAAATTCTACTAAATTTATTGATATAAATAGTGCTTTTTGTTTAAAACAACTGAAAGAAAAAGGAATTGAACAATAAGAAATGAAAATGAGTTGATGTCTATAACCTATTGTTGCACTATTATCGTCATCACCTGTAGGTCTCCAAATTGCCCTGCTGTCTTCATCACCTGTAGGCCTCCAAAATTTTCTTTTGTCACTCGTAAGTGAAGTTTAGTCGGGGCATATCAGCTACTTTTTCATAAAAGTATAAGCATTACACCATATATATCCACAAAGATCTTTCCAGTAAAGGATTCTTTAAATTACCCTATATGATCTAGGATGCAATGAATGTTAGAAATCTTAGAGAAAAGTATAAGATATTCCGGTGAAACATTGAGTGAAAATTTTACTTAATCTTTCATAGATAAGCCTAATTAGCTATACTTGTCAGATCCACGCCAAACCTGAGATGCACCTTCTCCATTATAACGATAGCGATATCTGTAATCTTCCTCTTGTTTTTTAATATCCTCATCACTTAATTGTGTGATTCTTCTATACATTAAACTTGCAATGTCAGGTTCCTTGTTCCTGCGATTTATTCGCACTTGATAAGAAGCACAACATAAACCAGCTTATTAAACAATGCAAGTATCTAAGAAAAATTATGAACTACAATCAGTTTTTGGACAATCAAGATATTAGGCTCATATCTCTGACTCCTTATGTCGATATTGTAAATATCTACATATTCTTAACAAGTTCTCATCCATCTTTTCTTCTCTCTCTACAGCAATTTCACTTGACAATTTGTTTTATGACTCAACTCTTTCTGTTTTCAATTGAACTCAGATTACTTCTGTTATGGATCATGTTGGAGTTCAAGATCCAATAGCAAAAAACTGCAGAATTTGATGACGACGAT